ATAGAATATTAATGAATTGGTTTACTATCAATTCAATAGTTTAATCACCTCTTCATTTCTGGATGTGCTGTTATGGATGAATGCAAAGTATGGATCCTCCCTTCCTCAGGCTTATATTCCTTCTCCCTAATACTCCACGTGTGTGCTGAGATGAAAAGAGAAAGGGATAGTGCCTTATCCTTGATACAAAACCAATATTTATTTGTGCCTAGTAGTATTATTATTATACAGTATTTATAAAGCGCCAATGGTTCGCTCAGCGCTGTACATTACAAAGGGGGACAGAACATGTGACAGAACAATAGCAATACAATGCAAAACATGAGAGGATCGAGGGCCCTGCTCTTTCGAGCTTACAATCTAGGAGGGAGGAGATAGCTGTGGGGGATGGAGTGGTAGGAAGAGTGGAGGAGGTCGGCAAGTTAGCAGGGGGTGGGGTAGGCTTCCCTGAAGAGATGGGTTTTCAGGGTGCGCCTAAAGGAGAGGAGAGTAGGTGATAATCTGATGGGTTGGGGCAGGGATTTCCAGAGGATGGGTGACACCCTGGAGAAGTCCTGGAGGCGGGCATGGGAGGAGGAGACCAGGGAACTAGAGAGGAGGTCTTGTGAGGAGCGGAGTGTGCGTGCTGGGCGGTACTTTGATATTAGGTCAGTGATGTAGTTCAGGGCAGTATGGCTGGACGGCTTTGTACGTCAGTGTTAGGATTTTGAATTTGATCCATTGCGCAATCGGAAGCCAGTGGAGGGATTGGCAGAGGGGGGTGGCGGAAACGGAGCAGTTGGAAAGGTGAATGAGTCTGGCAGCCGTATTCAGGATCGACTGAAGCGGGGATAGCCAGCGGCGAGGCAGGCCAGTGAGGAGGGAGTTGCAGTAGTCGAGTCGTGATATGATGAGGGAGTGGATGAGCTGTTTAGTGGTTTCTGGGGTTAGGAACGTGCGGATTTTGGCGATGTTGCGGAGGTGGAGTCTGCACGAGTTTGTTTAAAGATTGGACTTGGGGCTGGAAGGATAGGTTGGAGTCCAGAATGACACCAAGTACTCTGGCCTGCGGGGCGGGTTTGATGATGGCGTTGTTGGATGTGACGGAGAAGTCAATGGGGGGTGGTGTCCGGGCTGGGGGGAAGACAAGAAACTCTGTTTTGGAGAGGTTCAGTTTAAGGAAGTGGAGCGACATCCAGTCTGTTATGTCGCTCAGTAGGTGTGTGTGATTCGGGCGGAGACCGAGGGGGTGAGGTGGGGGGTTGAGAGAGAGATTTGTGTGGCGTCGGCATAGAGGTGGTAGTTGAAGCCGTGAGAGTGTATGAGTTGGCCAAGGAGGAGGTGTAGATGGAGAAGAGAAGGGGCCCGAGGACAGAGCTTTGAGGGACCCCAACAGAGAGGGGGAGTGAGGGGGAGGTGGTAGCATTATAGGTAACGCTGAAAGAGCGTCGTGACAGGTAGGATGAGAGCCAGGAGAGAGCAGAATCTCTGAGGCCGAGGGCGTATAGTTTTTTTGAGGAGGAGGGGGTCGTCGACTGTGTCGAAGGCCGCAGAGAGGTCAAGGAATAGGAGCACTGAATAATGGCCATTATCTTTGGTGGTTAGCAGGTCGTTGGAGATTTTGAGTAAGGCAGTTTCGGTGGAGTGTAGGGGAGGGAAGCTGGACTGTAGGGGATCGAGGAGGTTGTTGTCGTTGAGGTGAGAGCTTAGGCGGGGTGTAGACTAGGCGCTCGAGGAGTTTAGATGTAAATGGGAGCAGGGAGATGGGTCTGAGGTTGTTCAGGTCATTGGGGTCCAGGGAGGGCTTTTTAAGTATGGGGGTGATGTGTGCATGTTTCAGAGGGGAGGGGAAAGTGCCAGAGGAGAGGGAGAGATTAAAGATGTGGGTGAGGGAGCGTAGGATGGAGGGGGAGGGAGGTCGTAGGAGTTGTGAGGGGATAGGGTCGAGGGGGCAGGTGGTGAGGCGGGCATCAGAGAGGATCTTGGAGACTTCCTCGATGGTAGTAAGGTCAAAGGTGCGGAGTGTTGGGGGGGCTTCAGTATGAGGAATGTGGGGTGGAAGTGGGGGTCAGAGCAGTGGTGGGGCCGTGGGAGAGGGGTGATGAGGGGGTAGCTGAGTGAGGGGGAACGGGGTTGGAGGGAGTTTGAGCAGCGACGAAGTCCCTGCGGGTTATGTCGAGGGAGAGGGGACGGGTTGAGAGGGCGTGTGAGTTGCGGCGATGTCCTTGCGAATTGTGTCAATCTTGTTTTTGAAGTGATTGGCAATCTCAAGGGCAGTGAGTGAGGTGCTGGGTGGAGGTGGGGGGCAGGGTTATGGTTGCGGAGGTTACGGCTGGTAGTAGTGTGACATTTTGGAGGGGTAGGCGTTGGAGGACGAGGAGATAGAGAAGGTAATCAGGTTGTGGTCAGAGAGAGGGAAGGGGGTGTGGTTGTGGGGAGCGCAGCGGTTGGAGAAGACGAGATCAAGGATATTACCGTTGGAGTGGGTGGTGGATTGTATGCACTGTGCAAGTGCAAAGGAGGAGGTTAAGTGGAGGAGATGGGATGTGTCTGAGTTGTCGAGGTTGACAGGGATGTTGAAATCCCCAAGGATGATGGTGGGTAGCTCAGAGGAGAGGAAGAAGGGTAGCCAGAAGGAAAAGTCATCCAGGAAGCGGGATATGGATCCAGGAGGCCGGTATATCACAGCAATCTTCAGGGGGGTTGGGGAGAATAGTTGGACGCAGTGGGCCTCGAAGGAGGAGAAGGATAGGGAGGGGGGGTTTGGGAGGACTCGGAAGGTGCTCTGCGGTGACAGGAGTAGACCAACCCCACCACCTTTACGACCGTTAGGCCTGGGTGAATGGGTCCAGGCGAGACCTCCGTAGGAGAGTGCAGCAGGGGGAGGTAGAGTCAGTGGGCTGGATCCAGGTTTCCATGATCGCTAGGAGGTTGAGGGAGCGGGAAACAGAGGTCGTGGATGGCGGTAAGCTTATTGCACACCGATCGGGCGTTCAGGAGTGCACATGAAAACGGGGGGGGGGGGGGGGGAGATTTTAGGGGAGCAGGGGGACAGATACTATGTTGCGGGGGTTGCGGCAGGACGTGAAGGCGGGAGGGTGTTGTGCGGGTGAGGGGGTGGTGGAGGGCCAGGATTCGGGGAGATGTCCCCCGCCGGTTAGGAGGAGGAGAAGGGTAAGAAAGGTGGCATGGAAGCGGGATGTGCAGGAGTGTGAGAAACTACTAGTGGAGGTGTTCGGGTCAGTGGGAGAGTGGAGTAATAGGAGGAGGGTGGTGGGTGTTGTAGAGGGGCGAAGGAAGTAGTGAGGACATATACAAATGTTTGGGAGGAGCAGAGGGATATAGTGAATGGATTTTGGGAACGGAGGAGAGGAAAATGAGGAGGAGGAGTGGAAGAGGCATTTTGGGAAGGTGATGAGAACAGTAGTAGGGAGATGATAGCAATGAGGGGGAGATGTACAAGTTTTGGGGTGGAGCAGAGGGGTAAAGAAATGAGATTTGGGAACAGACGATAGTAATATGATTAGGAGAAGAGGGGGAGTATTATATAAAGGTACACGGAGTGGGACTCAGGTATGTAAGAGATGTTTCCCAGGGTGTATGCTTGCAGTCTGTCCAGCGTGCAGTAGAGTTTCTTGTTGTTGTTGTGTCTTCCTGCTGCTTAAGTTCTCCTGCTTTAGTTCAACTGCTGTGTTTAACTGCTTCGCACTCCTTCAACACAGCACTCGATCAAAAGCAGCACCCCCATCAGAGACTGTGCCCCCCATCAGTGAGCACTCACATATTTTAAAAGACTTTTAGCGCTTTGTGTAAAATTGCCAGTGAAGAGCGGTGTGACCAGCCTGAGCGGCGCGTGACACACACTGCCTATACTCGCCGTTCCAAGGAGTCGGGTACATGGTGACGTCAGTGTCCCTCCCCAACGCGTTGCGCCCACAGGGTCACGTGGCTTCATCCATAAGAGCACATCCAGGAATGAAGAGGTGATTAACCCATTCAGCTCTCAACAGAGAATTACACCAGGGCAATCCTTTGCTCTTCAGCCCAGCACTTACAGACTGTCTGGAAAGTGTGAGTACTTCACAAGCAATTAATTTTGAGTATATTTTCTCATGATGGGACTCTAAACTTGGCTGGACTTTTTTTTATTAGTTGGACATTTTCACACAATTTTTTTTTTTTTTTGATTTTGAATCTATTATTGCTCTGTGTTAAATTTATGTCTGATCATTATTCTAATCATGCAGTGCAACTGATTTGAGGACTGGAATATATGCATATTATCTGGATACTTTGCACTAGATAGTAAACCACTCACCTAAATTGAATTGATAGTAAACCAATTCATTAATATTCTATATTTAAACACCTGTTCGCACAGAGGGCGCGGCACCATATTTTATATAGTCACTTGAAAATTCTTTTGTACTCTTCTCCTGACTAATACCTTTTAACAGTGAGATCCCTCTGATGCTTTGCAAGCTCTCTGCGGACCATGACTTTTTCTGTAGGATGCGACTAAGAAAATGTCAAGAAAGACCTCCTACTGGCAGCAAAGGGGTTAAGTGCTTGTATTCACACTGTGTGTGGTTACCTGTATTTTTTTTAACGCACTGAATCAATGTTACTGAACCTAGAAAACAATTTCTCATCTATGTGCCCTGTTCACACCACAATGCTAATGGGATGTGCAGTGTGGAAAAATGCAGCATGTCAGCATTGGCACCAGGTGTATCTTTCATAAATCAAGAGTCATACCTCTAGTACAACATGACAGGCTTCCATAGATGCAAAAGAGGCTGAGTTTTTGCACCCCCCCCCCTTCAAGAGCCAAGTTTGAAAGGACAAACTAATATTTTATGTTTTTCTTGCACTTGTCATTGCTTGCTTTCTTATTATACACTAATAATCACCAATAAGCTGAGTCTTTTTGAAGTAATTACTGCGATTGTCTTGCAACCCAATATCCTGTATGATAATTGTGTATTCTATAGTATAATAAGATAACTTTTGTGTTACAGAAACACGAAGAAAGAATCCGATTTAAGTCTTACTCAGAACCAACTGAGAGATGCAGAAGCTAAGCTGAATTCAAAAGAAGCGGAACTTGCGACTGCTCTGAGTAACAAAAGAGGTTTAGAAGAGCAACAGGAAGACCTGAAGACACACCTAGCTGGAGTACGAGGTTTCCTATTCTCCTTTCCTTCTGGTGTCTGATATAGTCCTATAGGTTTTAGGAAAATGGGAATTATGCTCACAATATCATAGTACAAGCTAAATGGCTTCCAAATTTTGTCAGGAAAAGTGGCATTAAAGGCAAAACATTTTTGTTTTCCATTTTGGATAATGTAAATGAGAGTTATCTTTGCCAGTTTTTTCCTTTCTGCCATCTGTGTCCCATTGGAGAGATTTCACTACATTTCTGACCCAAAACAGGAAGTGAGAGGAAATCCCTGGAAAGTTGTGACCAGAACTAGTGTCCCCATTGGGAAATGTCTACTCTGCTATTCCTGTTCTAGTGTCCACCACAAATTTGGTCTTTTCTTTTACTTTCAGTTTTGGTGATAACGATAAACAGGACAAATGGTGGGGGTGAATCTCCCTAACAGGGGCACAGACAGCAATAAAACCTGAGACGTTCTAGTCCCCCCCTTCACTCCAAATCTTGGGGGGGGGGGGGGAGTTTTGTGTGTTGTGTTTAGTTAAATGTTAACCCCTTTGCGCCGGCCGCACGCAGATGTGCGGCCTCCCGGCGTCTGGGCCTAGACGCCGAGCGGCCGCACATTTGCGTCCATGGAACTAAATACATATGTGCTGAGAGCGCGCGCCCTGCGCGCTCCCCGCACACATGTGTAGTACTCACGGAAAGGTCCCGCTCCGCTCTTTCGAACGGGACCTTTCCCGATCATGTGACCGCCGTGACGCGTCATCACGGCGGTCACATGATTCCTAAACCACGCCCCAGCGCCCCGCCTCCCGACGTCAGAATCTCTTAAAGGGCTGGGAGGCGTCGGCGGGAAGGGGTTAACACTTTGGTTTGTGCCCTGCCTCCCATTTTGTACCTCAGTTGCCTAACCATTTCTCCAATTTTTCTCTTTGTACATTACAGCCTTACTTTTTGAATGCAAAGGATGAGTAGAATTTAATTTATTCTAAACCTTTTTTTTGTTTTTTTTATTAAAAAATAAAAAAAAAAAAAAAGGTCTTAACTACTCTGTGCAATGGTTTTGCACAGAGCAGCCCTCATACCTTTCTGCTTTCTGGGGTCCCCCAGCGGCGCTTCTGGTTTTTCCTGCAGCTAGTGCTCCCCTCTATAGGACTAGATTGACAGCAGCAGCAGCAGCCAATGGCTCTCACTGTGATCAATCTGCTCTGTGAGGTTGGAGAGAGCGAAATTAGTTGTTTCTCTTGGGCACAGTGCTGGATTGAAGACTAAGGTAAGTTGGGGGGGGGGGGGGGGGGGATCTTGTGTCACAGAAGGTTTTTAATCTTAATGCAGAGAATGTATTAAGGTAAAAAAAAATCTTGAGCCTTTTGAACCTCCTTTTAGGCACCATGCACACTAGTTTTTTTTTTTTTTTTTTTTTTTTTTTTTTTGTTCTAAGCTCAAACGCTAGGAAAAAAAAGCTGGATGAAATACGCTGATAATAGCATTTTTTGTGCCAGCTTGTAGTAGTGTTAGCATTTTTTGTTGTGTTTTTTTTTTTTTTTTTTTTTTTTGTACAGTACATGTAGAAAAACGCTGTTAGGAGCGTTCAGTGTTCTATTTTTTTCTGCCTGGAAAAATGATCCCAAAAATTCTACAAAAACTAACTTTTTTTCTGCTCCTAGGACCTGAAGCTTGAAAAAACGTACTAGCCTACAATAGTGTGCATGGACACGTAGGATACCACCATTTAGCTTCTAGGAGCTTAAAATGCTAGTGTGCATGGAGCATAAGGGAGAGCTCTGTTGATTTGAAAGATTCCTTGATGGTTTCACAAATGTTTATCAAATCAATATTTTTGTTCTACTTTAAAATCATCATTAGTGCTCATAAACAAAATGAAACCTGCAAAATTTCTACTAATAGGATACTTTTTTTTTTTTTATTGAATAAATATTTGTAAATTTAAAAGTGCAGGTCTCCTCACACGATGCCATTTGGCTTATGTGGCTGCCGCTGCCTGCAGGCAGCCTGTGTAAGTCTATGGTGATGAAGTGCCTGTATGCATTAACACGACAGGTGTGCGGGTGAATGGCCTCAAACACTGAAAGTCTATGTTTTGGTGCGGTTTACCCTCATTTCTTCAAGTTAGAATGAACTATGCTTGTGTGAACGAGGCCTTATACAAAACTGTTAATAGTAGGTACCTAAAACTAAAAAAAAACCACCAACGCTGAAGCCTGCTTTTTCTACTTGGTAGGAGGATTTTAGTGTATTAAGTTGGCTACACACTATTTTATTGCGTAATGCGCAGTAATACGTGTGTTTTACCACCCATTTCAGCAATGCATGTTAACACTTTGCCTGGTATATGGTGCATTTTATTTAGAATAGTACCTCCGTGTACAACTACAAGATAAGGCAACACATCCACCCTGCAGTACAGCATAGCAGATGCTCTGCATTGTAATGTGCTGTCATGTCCATGCCCCACAGAGCACCTATCAGTTTTTTCTTCACCTACCTCCTTCTCTGACACTCTTCTCTTTTGAGGCACATTGTATACGTCTATTCTCTTCTGTTTCTGTAAGAATTGCTGTTATCTACCGGCCCCCTGAACTGGCATCTACCTTCCTTTTATGGCTTCTCTGCCTGGCTACCTTACTTTCTCTCTTCTGAAATACCCTCAATCATTCTTGGCGACGTCAACATTTAAAAATTATTACCAAGGGCCCATTCGCACCCCTTTTTATTTCCGTATGGTGGATTCTGACACCCATTAATGTGTGCTGCATTAAGGCAGCCCATTCAATTTTTTTGTGTGTGTTTTTTTACATTTTTCTTTTTTTCGGTAACTGATACCTGGACCTGAAGACTGGTGAAGAACTGGCTCGGGTGAGGACAGCGATGGATCCCTGGACAGGTAAGTATTTGTAACTGCTGACTCTGACTTTTTTTTTTTTGGGGGGGGGGGGCGTGAAACTTCTCTTTAAAGTTGCTCTGTCCCAGTCATGTCAATTGTAAAAGAAGCCTTTGCAATGTCACACAATCATGTACTGTATACTTACCTTTCTGATGGCCCATGTCTTCAAATGCTGCCACTTTGCTTCTCCCCTCTTGCCATGGGTATTCCACACTCCCCATTGTGTGAATATCTGCTGCTGCGAGCGCATGCTGTTTTTCCTATGTTGGTCCTATACCTGCTGCAGCCAGGGACACTTGTGACTGCTGGACAGGTAGGTATACCTGATCTTTTACAATCTGGACATCTGGCAGTTGATCAGATAACAGAAGATCCTTTTGTGGAGACATCATAGGTCACAACAGACCTCTGTCTCCTTATGCTCGGCTATCCTGCACAGCCCTGACATTGAGCCAGGAAGTGCTACTGAGAAATCTGTGAACATGGCTAGCACCTTGCTGGTCTCATCACCTGAAAGGTACAGCAGCAGGGGAGGGAAATGCTGCACTGCATGATCAAATGGATGTGATTGGTGGCTTTCCATCTAGAGTGTTGTAGTAACGTTTTTGATGCATTTTTGTGCAATACAACATTTGATCTGACTAGTATTAGGCTTATAGATATGTATGCATGTGTATAAAATATATATTTTATCTTCACATCCATTTATATTTTACAGCTTGAATCTTCATTGAGGGACACAACAAAACAGCTGCATGATGAAATGCTATGGAGAGTGGACCTGGAGAATAAAATGCAAACCCTTAAGGAGCAGTTGGATTTTGAGAAAAATGTACACAGTCAGGTACATTACAAACTGTCAGCAAATGGTTGAAAAGTATACATTTTTTTTATTTTTGTCACTTTTTTTTACTTTTTTGTTTTAGTTTAGTTTTGTGTGTTTATTTATTTATTTTTTTTTATATGGTATACTTTTTTGTTTTTAATGCATTGGGAGGAGTGACTAAGTTTCTTAGCACGTAGCAATGACTAGGAACATGGTCATACTTTTACAATTCTTTTACATGCGTTGCAGCAGGTTGTAACATCACTGGGGACTCATCCCCACTAGTACAGGGATGTTTTTCCATACCGGAGAAATGCCAGTCACTGCTAGGGCACATAAAAAAAACAACTATTTTCTCTCTTCTCAATTCACACTGCAGTGCAGCCTGGAGGTGTGGTGCAGTGAGCTGTGGTTTTCCCTATTTAGTCATCTTCATCCTCTTGTTAGATTCACTTATTGCCCCAGGTGGATTTTCAGTATGGAAACTATGTTTGAGACCTAAGGTGGATTTTCCACAGCCCCACACTGCTGCTGTCATCCTAGAGTGTGCTTTCTACTGGGCCCACTATAGGCATGAATGTGTAGCTGATGTCCCGACGCTGAATATGGGTTTTATGAAAACAATGTGGGGGGTGGGTTTTTTTTTTTTTTTTTTTTTTTATTTGAAGGTTGATTATGTTGCATTTTATATTTTTGTTTAAATTTTACTATTTTTTGTAATACAACGTGTAAATTAAACTGCATGGATGTCTGAGTTTCACCACTTGTTCAGTAGGATACCCTAGGCTTTTCTGTTTCTTTTGCCTAAATTAATTAGTTATGAGGACCACACCGAAAAAGTATGGTGAGTTGGTTAACTTTTTGATTCAGTTATAACCTACCCCATTGTTTTTATCCTGTCTTTTGAGCTGTGATAAAATGCAGACATGCTGCATTTTATCTCAGTGCACAGGAAGGCACCACAAGTCACCGCACAGCACACCACACTGCTGTAAGATGACTTGAATAAAAAGTCACTTGAAATAAAGTTGACAAAAAGAACTGTGTGATGTAAAACGCACATCACACCTTACTGCAGCCCAAAACAGACAGCTGGAGCATTTTTTTTTTTTTTTAGCGTTCGGGAACTGTGAAATGGCCCTTACAGTGGTCTGGTAGCTGATGGCCTACACTGTTTTCTTACCTTGCATGCAGGGATTCATACCCATTTTTGTGATTATTATTTTTTTTTTTTTTATTAAACCTCAGTTTGCATGAAATGGTTTCTCCATTGCACTTTCATCTCTGAAGGAACCATTTCTTGTGCAGCGAGGTTTAATGCCACAACATTTGAGATTTCTATCTACAGTAGTCTCCATAATAAGTCAGATCTCTGCTCTCCGTTACTGGTAAGACATTGGTTGCCTTCAGCTTGTATTTTATCCTCTATATGTGGAGGCAGTGCTATAGAAAATTATCAAAAGACTACATTGAGATACACTGTTCAGGCATACTTTTATTTACTTAATAATGTGAAATATGTTCTTGTTCCTTGTATTTTACAGGAGCTGAATGAGATGAGGAAACGGCATGATACCAGGATTGTAGAAATAGATTCTGGTCGAAGAATAGAATTTGAGAGCAAGTTGGCCGAGGCCCTGCAAGAACTCAGAGGAGATCATGAGCTGCAAATCAAGGACTACAAGGACCAGCTGGAGAAAACATTCAGTGCCAAGGTGGTTTTACTATTTGTAATATGGTTATGCTAATGGCAGTTGGGCCGATAAACTATTCCATGCTGGAACTGTTTCAAAGGCTTAAATGGGAAACACACTAAAGTTGATTTACTAAAGGCAAATAATCTGTGCACTTGCTCTATATCTGAAGAGAAGCTCTGACATGAAGGCTCTGCTGATTTCTATCATCCAATCATGTGCAACAATCTTCCTTCCTTCTTCTTCTTTTTTTTTTTTTTTTTTTTTTTTTTGTAGTAGTACTGATCTCCTAATAAAGTTGCTTTAGACAGTTTTCTAAACCAGGTTATGTGCAGGGAAATGAGGACTTTCATTTTGTAGAAGAGGTAATTATGTAAAAGGGGCATTACCTAGGGCTTCAAATATTGTGTAACTATTTGGTGTTGCGCTAAAGTGCAATCAAAGTAATATATAAATTATTATGCTCATACAAATCTGCAAAAGGTAAACCAATACCAAAAATTAAAGTGCAAAATAATTAGCATATATGTGACAGTCCCTATGGGGGTATATACAGGTGAAACTCGAAAAATTAGAATATCGTGCAAAAGTTCATTTATTTCAGTAATGCAACTTAAGAGGTGAAACTAATATATGAGACTCCTTACATGAAAAGCAAGATAGTTCAAGCTGTGATTTGTCATCATTGTGATGATTATGGCTTACAGCTCATGGAACCCCCAAATCCACAATCTCAGAAAATTAGAATATTGTGAAAAGGTGCAATATTCTAGGCTCAAAGTGTCCCACTCTAATCAGATAATTAAGCCATAACACCTGCAAAGGGTTCCTGAGCCTTTAAATGGTCTCTCAGCCTGGTTCAGTAGGAATCACAATCATGGGAAAGACTGCTGACTTGACAGTTGTGCAGAAAACCATCATTGACACCCTCCATAAGGAGGGAAAGCCTCAAAAGGTAATTGCAAAAGAAGTTGGATGTTCACAAAGTGCTGTATCAAAGCACATTAATAGAAAGTTGTGTGGAAGAAAAAGGTGCACAAGCAGTAGGGATGACCGCAGCCTGGAGAGGATTGTCAGGAAAAGGCCATTTAAAAGTGTTGGGGAATTTCACAAGGAGTGGACTGAGGCTGGAGTCAGCGCATCAAGAGCCACCACACACAGACGGATCCTGGACATGGGCTTCAAATGTCGTATTCCTCCTGAACAACAAACGCCGTCAGAAGCGTCTTACCTGGGCTAAAGAAAAACAGACCTGGTCTGTTGCTCAGTTGTCTAAAGTCCTCTTTTCTGATGAGAGCGACTTTTGCATCTCATTTGGAAACCAAGGACCCAGAGTATGGAGGAAGAATGGAGAGGCACACACTGCAAGATGCTTGAAGTCTGTGTTGATTTGGGGATCCATGTCATCTGCTGGTGTTGGTCCACTGTGCTTCATTAATTCCCAGGGTCAACGCAGCCGTCTACAAGGAGATTTTGGAGCACTTCATGCTTCCTTCTGCAGACAAGCTTTATGGGGATGCTGACTTCATTTTCCAGCAGGACTTGGCACCTGCCCACACTGCCAAAAGCACCAAAACCTGGTTCAATGACCGTGGGATTACTGTGCTTGATTGGCCAGCAAACTCGCCTGACCTGAACCCTGTAGAGAATCTATGGAGCATTGCCAAGAGAAAGATGAGAGACATGAGACCGAACAATGCAGAAGAGCTGAAGGCCGCTATTGAAGCATCCTGGTCTTCCATAACACCTCAGCAGTGCCACAGGCTGATGGCTTCCATGCCACGCCGCATTGAGGCAGTAATTGCTGAAAAAGGGGCCCAAACCAAGTATTGAGTGCATATGCATGCTTATGCTTTTCAGAAGTCCAATATTGTTCTATGTACAATCCTTGTTTTATTGATTGCATGTAATATTCTAATTTTCTGAGATTGTGGATTTGGGGTGTTAATGAGCTGTAAGCCATAATCATCACAATTATGACAAATCACGGCTTGAACTATCTTGCTTTGCATGTAATGAGTCCTATCTCATATATTAGTTTCACCTTTTAAGTGGCATTAATGAAATAAATGAACTTTTGCACGATATTCTAATTTTTTGAGTTTCACCTGTTTAACAGTCTATGCTAATTATTTTGCACTTTAATTTTTGGTATTGGTTTACCTTTTTGAGCACTTTATTCACTGTTTTTATATTTGTATATATATGTGTTTGTGCATAATATTTACATATTACTTTGATGGCACTTTAGAGCAATATCAGATATTATTTAGATTTTAGAGCGGATATCCTCTTAGTGTGTTATTTAATTTAGGCACTTGTGCGGTTTTTGATTGTGTTAATTCAAACTCCAAGCTTGTGTGACTCCAAGCTCCAGTGATGAAAGTCAGGGTACATCTTCACTCGAGGGTACAGCCTTTTGGTGAAGAGTAACTAGCATGTTACACAGGACTTTGGAAGGCCTTAAGTGAAACCTCTGATTCTCCAACGTATTTTGGTTTGTTACTTTTCAAGATGCCTCTGCTGAACTGGCTGTTGTTTTTTTTTTTTTTTTTTTTTTTAAAACAGAAATTTAGTTGCAGAGCTCAGTGCTCATTTAGGCAGACCAGCAGGGATATTGAACTAAAATGCAGTTATTAAAATTTTCTTCCAGCAGTGGTTCGGATTGCATTTTTGTGCTATGACACAGATCCTTTAAATCCCAGCCCCCCACATTTTATATCACAGTCCCCTTCTTACATCCGTGTCCTCAGGACACACACTTCACCACAGTTCTCCTTTTACATCAGTGTCTTCAGCCCTCCTTCACATGAGTTTCTTCCACATTGTGTTGTGTTCCCCCAGATGGTGGTCTGGATCAGACTGTTACTTGGTCTGGGTGCAGACCGTGGTCCTCCATTTAGTGATGCCTAGCATACAGGATATTTAAATCCAATTCTAAACAATGTATATATTGCAGCTTATCAGTCTTTTGGCTGTATTAGCTTTTCTTAAGATTGAGTACATTTTTCTGCAAGTAAAGAGAAATACCCTTTTTTATCCTGTGAAATACTTTGTTCTTGTAACTTGCGTCTAAAGCAATATTAGCTGTCTCCTCTATCTTCTTTGAAATGCAATGCAAGATCCCTATATCTAATGGAGAGGTTGGGGGGGTTCTAGTTCTGATCAGGTGTGTAGCTAACAACCCAACGACAGAAAGTGTTACTGCCAGTATCTCCAGTAGCAAGAAAAGCCTGAAAAAAGAAAAAAAATGCAGCCATTACATTGAAGAACGGGTGGGCATTGAAGTATTGTTTTGGGCTTTGATACACTATACAAGCGTATCTAGCAGATACTGTATACAGTACACTGGTTCTGCCAAAGTATGGTCAGATTTCTGTGTTAATGCACAATATATCATAAAATGTCAGAAAAAACATCTTTTCACAGCTCTACACCTGCGGAAAGATGTTTTCTCCCTACGTCTTCCAGGACAGCCATCTGAGACCTTGGGCTCCTCCCTCCGGGTCAGGAAACACACCATCCCCCATGCCTTTAAAAGGCGGGCCTCATATCCAGTTTTTTGTGTTTCCTGAGCCGGAAGGATGCGCGCCGTAGGAGCCAGGGTGATCCTCGCACCCTCAGGAAGGCTGGCCTGGAAGGGTGTGGTGCGGTCTGACCTCCGTCCCCGGTGCCTTCCACGTGGTGGGGCTGGCATCTGGTGGTGTCCTTCAGGCCCAGGTGGGTAACCGGCGCTGCCGCATGTCAATGGGGCTCGCCCCGATCGTGGCCTCTCCTCTGACCCGGCATTCAGTTGAATGTGCAGGGGAGAGGCGGGACTTCCGGTTGGGGCGGCCTTGCGTTCCAGCAACCGGAAGTAGCAGGGCGGATGCGCTCCACAGGCCGGAAGTCCGCCCAGGTGACGTCAGCGCCGGGCGCCGGGAGCCGGCTCCGATCTCCAAGAGGCGCAGGCACCACCAGGGGAATTAAAAGCCGGTGGGCGTGCGGAGCGGCGGCGCTGTCTCCACGCCAGGGGGATGATGGAAGCAGGACCTTCTCAGGCTGACCCAGGTCCCGGTACCGGCTCCTCCCAGGTAAGCTTGGGGAGGCTCCCCTTTATGCTATATTCCTGGGGGGGGTGTTTTTTGGAGGTCCCTTAAGTCCCCGAGGTTGTGGGTGTTAGGGTACGCTGCAATTTTTCCACAGTACTGGATGCAGTGGGGGTCCTGGGATTTTGTTCCTTTCAAGTGCCTAGTTCTGTTTGTTTTTTGTCATTTTCTTCTTTAGACTAAAACACAGGACAGGGACCCCGGTACAGGCCCCAAAGAGGAGATGTGCAGTGTGTGCGGCCAAGTTAGGCGCAGGTAGTGAGAAGCCTTTATGCCGCAACTGTATTGATGGTCTTGTTAGAGACGAATCTTTTACTACATGCCATAAAGTTTTGTCCTCTATTTAAAGAGGATATGTCGGCAACTTTTCAGGCGTTTAGGTCCCTTCTGGATAGGGGTTCAGTCTCCTTTGGAGATTGGTTCGCAGTCTGCATTGGGGATCATGCCCTCCAGGCATGGGTAGTTTCCGGTATGAGGAGGAAGACGTTCCTCGATCTCGGACATCCTCCCAGTTAGGTTCAGGGTTCCGAGGAGGAGGAAGCCCCACACTCTTCGGGCTCTAAGTATAAGAGGAAGACAGCCTAGGTTTGCTGGATGTAAAGAGGAGTCTTGTAATTTATTTAGACAGGTCCAGGGAATTTAGGAAATCTGATTCCCTTTTTGTTTTGTTTTCAGGGCAGAGAAAGGGGTTAGCAGCATCTAAAGCCACGATAGGCAGATTGATTTAGGCTGGCTATTGGGGAATCTTACAAGGTTTTGGGGATTCCACCTCCTTTTTGTTAGGGCCCACTCAACTAGATCCTTGGCAGCGTCCTGGGGGCGGAGAGAGCCGGGGCTTCGCCGGAGGAGATCTGTTAAGGCAGCCACTTGGTCGAGGTTTTCCACCTTCGTGAAGCATTAATCGCTTGGGGGATATCCTGTCAGATAAGGAAC